GGACTTAAAACTATTTCTCATTTTTCTGACAGTTTGGCCCTCTGCATACTCTGACATCAATTATGCTGGATGCTTCCTCCAGGTGCTTTCCATGTTCCAAGATGTATATTTCTGTGCTGAAAACTTGTACTCTTAATTTTGAGGTCTCTTGATGCTGCAAATTTAGCCAATCGGTACTCATTTTCATTTGTTGTATTGTGCAGTATAAATTTTCTTGCCACATCTTTGATGTAATCCTCTTTCCCAATCTTGGCATTAAAATCTCCTAGGGTTACCACTGCATCATTTCTAGGGGTTAAATCAAAGATCCTAGCCAATTTATCATAAAACTCATCCTTTTCTTCCTCATTTTTATTTTCTGTGGGTGCGTGCACGGAGATAAGAGTTATATTTCTAAATTTTCCCTTGCCTTGCAGATTCTATTGTCGATAGGTTCATAATCAATTAAGGAGCCTCGGAGTTTCTTACTTATTATAAATCCTGTTCCAAGGTGACCTTTCCTTTCTTCTGATCCACTGTAAATAAGAGAGTAATCACTTTTATCTATATGTCCTTGTCCCTTCCATCTTATTTTCTGTAATGGAACCACATCAATATTAAATTTCATTACCTCATTAGCAATTTCTTTCATTTTTCCTGCCTGAAGCATAGTTCCTCGTTCCATGTAGCCAAGGTCAAACATTTCCAGTTATTTGTTTTCTTTTTCTCGCCAGAGTCACTGCCATTATTTCTGTCCAGCTTTTCTTTGATCGTAGGTTTCGTAACCAGAAATGTTTTGCAAGATGGGGGGGAAGGGTTAGCCTCACACTAAACCCCCATACCAGGAGGACCGGTGGCTTTGATTTTGGGGTGCCCTCCCCTAGGAAGTTGGCTTCACTACGGCTGTAGAGCTCTCCCTACCCTTCCGCAGTAGGCAAGCTAACTATGTCTCAGGAAGCTGCCGTTGACTCCGGTACAGTTCGTCCACCACCATTCCTCAGGTGTAAGCCCTGCTGCTGACTTGCATAACTAGATACCACCTCTATTAGAATTACCCAGGGAGCACCACGAGGAGGTAAAGGTTGGATTTGGCCCCCCTAAAATGCTCCCCTGCATCATCCCCATAAACACTGCAAATTTTTCTGTGAGCTTTTGCAGCACGCTTACCTTTTTTAAAATAATACAACAAAATATGCTGATAATGAATGATATTTTCATCCATATTCACAGTGCAACAGCAAACACAATACTAAGCTCATTTCAACAAGATCTAACAGTTATAGTTGTTGACATATTACAAACAGGATAAACAATCCACCTTACGGATTAATTCATCAGATAAGAAGTATCGTAGTGACATAAAAATAAACAGAAAAAACCAAAGGATTTATTTGCCAACCCAATAAAATTAAAGGAAAGCTTAAAATAAAATCTAAAGACTTTCACTTACCACCCTCTTCTTAGCAGAAATAAATATTTTCAGACAAAGGGGAAGTGAAAGTAAAAATTATAGGCACTATATTTATTTACATTTCATTGTGTGTATTTTTATTTGTTTAAATACCCTTATATAGAAAAATTTTATTTTATATATCACTGTATTCCATACAATTAAATATTAAATAATACCAACGATAGCATTTATGAAAACTTCACATGTATATGTTCATAATGTTGTTGGAGTCCGTATTATATTAAGCTCATGTTACGTATGTACTCTTTCGAGTGAACTCGGACGCGCTCGTTTTCGGTTCTTCCTTTACAACTATTATCGGTTACAATCTCTTATATCTCCTTTAGTTAATTATCAAATTCTTTCATATTTTATATTTAGCTATTTTTTTTATCAAAGATTAATGTGAAATGATTAATTATTTTAAATAAAAAAAATTAAAGATATTGTAGAGGGAGCTAATATTGAAAATTAGCCGTTTAAGCCCTGTTAGAGAACATCAATGAGAATAAAACCTACATCATATTAAAAACTGCTTAATAGTACATAGATATAATGAGTTTAATCAAGATCGTTAAATGCATTTCTGAGAAAATCATAAAAATGTGTAAAATCAATTATATGAAGTACCACTTCCGATTTGCCGATTTTGCCAAAAATGTTGCTGTAACATTTAATGATTATAAAATCCACAAATACGCAATTTCAGTTTCGTATGGCTTTTTGTTTTTTAGCTAGGCTGTTAACATACATACACACGCAGCCACAGAGACACACACTCACACATACACACACATACCATTTTGCGGGACTTGATTATTTTGACTCAGGGGACCTCAAAACGCATTTCTGTTGAAAACTCAGATTCAAAATTTTCACGATCGCAATACTCACTCTAAATATATATTACATATATAGGTAAGTGAAAGTAAAAATTAACTGCTTCTTAAAATATGAGCTAGCATCATATTAAAGAAAAATAAATGTATAAGTCTGATTTATAAAAAAAAAAAAAAAAAAAAAAAAAAAAAAAAAAAAAAAAAAAAAAAAAAAAAAAAAAGCATATTTTAGTGTGTACAGTGTAAAAAGATGGGAGCAATTCCGTGAATAAATCCTGCACACAGAAGGTTGGCCAGACCTTCAGTACTTCGCTCACACGGGACCTGAACTTGATTCAGACTCCGCACAACTAAAACTTTTAAAAGTGAAAAAATGGTTAGTGCCAAAAGGCATTTCTCAAACTCCAACTCAATTTAAATACAAAACCCATTTGATACAAAGGGACTCCCTTTAAAAAAAGAAAAAAAAATCTGGTGCGCACAACACACAACTTCCATTTATGACTCAACTTTAAATAAGAATTATTTTCGGGCCATGTTGAGTGGGCTATTATAAAATTTTTGAATTGCATTTTTAACTGAGCTAAAGCTAAAAAAATACAGCTAACAAATCATAAGTATAATTAAAATAACAAAAGTCCTATTTATTATATCACCGGTTGATTATCGAATGTACGACTATTACTTATTAAACTATTATTGTCCATTGCAAAGTTCACTAAAACGGAATTAAGAGATTTGCATTGTCTGTCTTAGACAAGTCAAAAGTTGTCACACAAATTGTAAGTGGATATTGTTGGAATATCACAAAAGGAAATTTCATCAAACTATTCACTAATTTAATTTTCTAAAAGGTTACATGACCATATTTCGGAATAAACGGACATTGATACCTAATTATTTAAATATAATATCATATCTAGAATTATTAAACTACAGTAAATGTATTTAAGGTTATAAACATATGCTTTATACATCCATTAAAGGATTTTATATTTTACTCCTTTCACACAAGTACTATGAAATAGTTTTTTTAACAATGTCATTGCCTTGTACATACTTTTTTCTAACTTAAAAATATTTTTTAAAGTTTACGTTTAGTTAGTAAATTTCATTTAATTTCCTTGAAATCATGTGATTTACGTTAAATAATATTAGTTTTCAAAAATTATTAATTATAATTTTTTTGCCACTCTCCGTTATCTTCTACAACTTTCTATATTAGATATTGTTTTTTCTAAAATTCTTCGGTTCCCAATGATATATCATACGTATACCGGAGTCTCATTTTCGACCTGGATAAGCATTTTTATTTTTTTCCCCTTTATTCAATTATCAAATTTTTTCAAAAGTTATATTTAGCATTTTTTCGTTACTCTTAATAATGAGAGATTATTAATTATTTAAATTAAACCATATTAAAGGTACTTTAGAGGAAGACGCATATGAACATTGAGCATTTAAGCCCTGTAAAGTGACATCAACGGGGATAAGGCCTAAATGATATTAAAGATGACTTAATTATACAATGATACACCGAGTTTAATCAAAATCGTTATAGCCATTTTTGAGAAAATTGTAAAAATATGTTTTACCGTTGATATAAAGTGGCACTTCTGGTTAACCGATTTTAAGGAAAAAGTTGCTGTCACATCTAAGGCATATATCTATCTTAAATGTTTTGTACGACTTTTCGTTTTTTGAGCTAGACTGCTAACGTACTCACACACAGACCATTTTTCGGGACTTGGTTATTTGGACTCTGGGTACCCCAAAACGTGTAATTCCGTTGAAAATTCAGATTCAAAAATTTTCACGATCGCAATACTTACCCTTACCATATATTACATATGTACGTATGTGAAAGTAAAAAAAGAAATATGTATATTAGGCGTTTCCGTAATGACATTCTAGAGGTCCCAAAAAATGATTTAAAATGCAGCTCTCCTCCTCTCCGATGGCCTTCGATGAAGTGCAAGAGTCCATTATTTTCAGTAATAATAGAACTAAAAAGGGGCTTTTAAAATATGATAAACAATTAATGAGAGGTAGATTAACCATCTTGGATTACTGAGAATTGTGTATGGTTCATACTTGTTTTGTATAGACCAATACCTAAATATGCTTTGCTTGAATAAAATGTACAATATGAGTAGGTTGCTATAAGATTTTATATTACACTATAGGCATCTGTACTCATTATTTTAATTTTTAATTACTTAATTCTTTTCATATAACAGCGTTTATTAATATTTTTTATGTGAAAAGGAGAAATATACGGGAAAAATCCGGAATATACGGGCAAAATCTGATAAAACCGGGAAATGTACGGATATTTTTTGGAGAAGCGCTGGATACCCTGATGTGCAGTGTACCCATAACTGGTAAGTTTAAAGTTCAAATCCAAAAGAGTTGAGAAAATTAAAATATTTCTGTACTAAACAAATACTAATATTTTAAATTAATGTTCTGGGGAAATGTAGTTCCAACTATGTATTGAAATTGTTAAGAAAGCTTGTTACAACTGTAGAACTATTGAGAAATTTTGTTCCGACTATTATCATTATTGGGATATTTTCTTTTATCTATAGAAATTGCATTTCTATAGATTTATTAGGAAACCTCTACAAACAAACTTAGTTGTTGTTCATGAGTAAATCTAATAATGTAAATATTAATTTTAAAATGTATTCATCTAAAAATCCATTTATATATCTTTTAATTTTCAGAAGAAGGTAGCGGTAGAAGTAGAAATCCTGTACGAAGATCTAATTCTAGTCCAGAAATGAGTTCCAATTGGAAGAATCCTCTTCTCAATCCCGATTCTGAATTTGATTTCTCAGAAAATAAAAAGAAACAAACTTACTCAAAGGATATGAGGTCAGTGGATTAGAAATTTTCAGTTGTTGGTCACTAGGAAGGAAGTTTAAATATAAACTTGTAAATATATAATTTATTTTTTAAGCGTTTTAATGGAGTTATACTTTTTACAAGAAAAAGTAATACAAAATGGTAGTTTTGATTTAAAAAGTAATAATTGAATACTTGCATATTGATCAGGTTATTGTTTGTTGATATTTTTGGTTATGTGTAAACCTCCATTGTTTTTCTATTGTTATTTTGTTCAATATTAGAAAAATTTGTATTGTTTAAATCAAAATTATGGTTTAGTTTTGTGCTGTGTTGTTCTTGTTGTATTTATATTTTTGCGATTGCTGCAATTTGTCTCACATTGAGCCATTATGGTGTTAGTTTTTGCGATGTTTCCATTATGTAAACCTTCTTACAATTTTTTCAATTTACTATTTTATCTTTCATATTAGATTAGTGATTTCATATTTTATTATTGTGGTTGTAAAGATCTAATTTTACATTTGATAAGTCATGAGTTTTAAACTTTTTGTTTCCTCTGTAAGGTTTTGTATATATATTGCATTTTCTGTCTGATATATTCTGCTATTTTCATTGATATTGCTGTTATAGTTTTCTATTTTAGTCTCATTATTTAAATCTGTATAAAATTTTTGTTTTGTTTTTCTTTTTGTATTTGTATTATCGTTTCTAATTGTTTAATGTGTTTTGGGAATTGGAATTGCTTTATTACTGTTGTTTTTTCGTAATCCTAGCGGAAGGAGATGTCTTGGGTGGCGGTCATAAAAAGACTAAAATAGTGGAAACACTATTTTAGTCATTTTATGACCGCCACCCCGGATCCTCTCCTTCCTCTAAAATATACAACAGTCTACCATCAAGTATTCTTTATGAATCCTTATTTGTTACTCTGTATCATATTTCATTTATCAATTTTTTTGGATAAATTCTTTTTAAAGATAATATTGAGTACTTGATGGTTGATTTTTGTATATTTTAGAGGAAGGAGATGGTCCTGAGTAGTGGTCATAAAAATACTAAAATAGAAGAAAAAATATTTCAATTTAAAGCCAACGTTTCGACTAAACTTTGCAGGCCTTCTTCAGGGCTAGAACGAACAAGATACAAAAGAATATAAAAAATTGTGGAAGTTACATAATATTTAGATAAAAATTCTAAACAATGAATAAACTTATTGAAATTATAAACAGTAAGTACATAGAAATATTAAGAACAATAAACTATATAAACAGAGTAAACTAAGTAACCAGATCCTAAACTGAAGTAAATAAAAGGGTGGATAATATATGTAATTATAAATATACTCTTACAGACCTCAAGGAAAGATTGAAAGAAAAAGGAAAAATAATCTGAAATAATGGGCATAAAGAGAGTATGAAGAAAAAATAAATAAATTTAAAAAAAAATTGACTTCAGTTTATGATCTTGTTACTTAGTTTACTCTGTTTATATAGTTTATTGTCCTTAATATTTCTATGTACTTACTGTTTATGATTTCAATAAGTTTATTCATCTTGTTTAGATTTTTTATCTAAATATTATGTAACTTCCACAATTTTCTATATCCTTTTGTATCTTGTTCGTTCTAACACTGAAGGAGACCTGCAAAGTCGGGTCGAAACTTTAGCTTTAAATAAAATAGTTTTTCCACTATTTTAGTCTTTTTATGACTGCTACCCTGCTATAATCTTTTATATTACGTTTTCTCTGTGTCTGTATGGGTGATTAGAACAGTAGTTTAATATGATATTACTTGTTATTTATTTTTTTTTTAGCTCTAATTCTTGTAGTTAAATATAAAAAAAAGAAATATATCATACATAACAGTTTCATTTCTTTCTATAGCCTTCTATTACTACATCACACCTTCCTTTTTAGTCATATGATTTTTTCTCCAGTTTAGATATACTGAGACCCAAGTGTCATATTGAAAAATATGTTGAATTATCCAATTTGTTCCATTGATTCTTGCTTTACAAATATCAAAAGAAGAGATTGTTAATGTGTTTATAGTACAATATGTTTTGCTAGTCTTATAGCTCAATTGTTTTTTACTAAACTATGTAATATAAATGATATTTTATTTTCCAATCCTAAGACTAAAATTAGTGTGCTACTTAACAGAACATGATGGCTGATTAATACATCAATTAGATTAAGTATTAATTACAAAAATATAGTTTCATGATGTAAATACAAATATATATCTATAGAAGTTTTACACATTCTGAATTGTCTGTTGTAGAGGAAACTGCGAAGCTATTCCAGAGGAAATGGGAACAACTCCTCCGACTTCAGAGGCTCTTACGCCTGCTCCCTGTGATATTCCAGACTCTAAATTAATAAAACCTGTAAGATTCAGTTTTGGTATCTGTGATTATATTTTATCTGAATATTAATTATAGAGTTTTTTCATCTTTTTTATCATTGCATATTTAAAATGAATAGCTATATGCTACTATTCTCACTGTTAGAAAGTTGACTAGTGATTAGAAAACTGTTCTTTATAGGAATCATACCTCAATAAGTAACCTTGAGTAGGAATAGAGGGAGAAGTAGAGGCTGAAAAGAACTAAATCCCCGCCCACACTCCCTGGCCCTGGAAAACCTCGTATAGCCTTAACGGCGAGGAAGGGGAGAACAAAAAAAAAAAATTATATGCTAGGGATGTAAGGATAGCGAGCTGGGTAGCACTGTGGTAATTCCAATGCTAAAGGTCGCAGGTTCGAATCCCGCCTCATGGCAGAAAAATTATTTATTCTGTTACATTGGCTGTGGGGCGACCCTGGGTAGGTAGACCTCCTGGGGCGCACCCAGCCGCTATAAAATGGGTGCCCTTAATTAAGGGGAAAAACCTGGCAGTCGAGTGTGATCTCGTTCAAATCACGACCTTGCACAACTGTGGACCAATAAACAGTACTTTCCCTAAATAGTACTGAACACAAGACCCTTCATGGCTTGTAGTGGTACAGGTTTTTTTTTTTATATGCTAGGGATGTTACAGCAACTTTTTTCGAAAGTATTTATTTTTGCTAAGAAGAGGGTGTGATCTCGTTCAAGTGAAAGTAGTGTGATAAAGGCACCACACCAGATTTTTTTCTTTGAAATTGCATTTATAACATATTTATTTCATCAAAACGTCTTGTGAAAGATTTTGAATGAACTCATAATGTTGTTCCGCTCAAGTATGCCTAATAATGACAGCAATTCTCTTATTCATATAAATGTGATTAAAGTACTAACTGGCAGGAAAAAAGTAAATAAATAAGGTTAATTCTGGTGTAAATGTCATTAAATGAATTACACAGCTAACAATTTCTTTACATTACACAAAATGTTAACACAGAAAAATTACTCGTACTTCTAAACAAGAGAATGTAAGCAAGCAATTTTTTTCTCGTCTGTGGGTTTTTGCCTCTGCTCCCTAGGAGCCGAGAAAAAAAATTATAAAATTTATTTGTTTATTCCTTATAAAGGTGAGAAATCTAAAAGTTATTGTATAGTTTTGAAGAGCAATAATTTAGCTTTCCGACGGTTGTAGTAACGTTGACTTAAGAAAAAAACCTGAGGAGTTATGAATATTTAGTAAAGGCATAAAAGCAAACCTTCCCATAAAATTGCGTCGAAAAATTTACATTTTTTTATTTCATTACAAACTGGTATTTAAGAGTTTTAGTAGGCCCTAAAAACATATTTCAATTGTTTTTCATGACATAAATTTACTTGGCCTACTTTACTGGAAGCGTCATCCAATCATTCCAACCTTCTGAGATGCCTGAGGCTGCCCGAAGGCTACAAGAGGACATCAACTGCATCAACAGATGGGCAGAAATAAATGAATTAAAGCTGAATGCAGATAAAACCAAGGCTATTATCATCGGGTCCAGACATCTCATTAGCTCCCTTCCTTACTTTCCTCTACTTAATCTCAATAATCGTCCTATCCATTTTTTCCCTACAGTCAAAAACCTAGGAGTAACCTTTGACCAGAACCTCTCCTGGAGTAACCATATCTCCCAGATTACCCGAAAATCCCCTTAAACAACTCCTAAGATTCCGTGATTGTATTCCTCTAAAAACCAGACAGCTCCTTGTAACCTCCCTTGTATTCCCCCACTTCGACTACGGCTGTTTGGTGTATGGATTGCTATCTGCCAGGCTGGAAATGAGACTAAAGAGACTCATGAATTGTTGCATAAGATACATTTTCGGGATCCCCAGGCGTTCACATGTTTCACTCTGGTACACCAAGTTGAAGTGGCTTCATCCTACTTCCTGACGACAATTACTCCTTGGTGTTTTTTTTTTCCAAGTCTTCAGAACCAAAAACCCTCCCTACATCCTGGAACTTTTTTTTTTTTTTTTTTTGGTCCTTTCCTTCCTCGCCGTTAAGGCTATACGGGATTTTCCCGGGCCAGGGAGTGTGGGCGGGGATTTAAAAGACTCCCCCGGCACCGGGACGCGAACTCGTGACTATTTTTATATCTTTAATTCATATGTCAGGTTGCCAGGCAACGGCGGTGCAGTGCACACGCTTTAGCCCATTCGGCTACCCCGCCCACTACATCCTGGAACTTATTACTCTACGCTCCTCTATCCACTTTCTCAATACTAGGTCTCTACCTATAGACTTATATATTCCTTCCCTCCCATAAAACTTCCTCCTTCATCAAATCCTTCGTCATTCGTGCTGCTTCCTTATGGAACTCACTTCCTACCTCCATGCATCAATCTTCCTCCACAAATTCCTTCAAACAACTCCTGTTCCAACACCTACTCTACATTCAAACTTCCCCTAACATTTAAAATTACTTGCATCTATCTGTACAATGTTTAATTTCAATCTATTGCACAGTTGAAATAACAATTAACATTAAATTAGTTTGTATTTTGATTATGTCAGATTAAGACCGATACATTTGTAACTCTGTTATTATTCTTAGGGGACAGTAGTCCCAGAATAAAATAATTTTTTCATTTCATTTCATTTTCATAATTCGTTCAATACAATTAGCAATATGTTTTTTCTATTTTACATCAAATCGAAAAAAAAAAAAAAAAAAAAAATCGATTGATATATAATAATTTATAAATCCTTGCAGAGTTAAGTCAGAAAACATTAATATAAAAAATAATAAAATTTTATAAAAAAAAATTTCTTGCCTTTTAGGGTGCATTGGCAAGAACCATCTGACATGGATCTAATATTTTTCGATCTAGTATCATCGAAAATATTTTCATTGAAATCCGTGACCCCTCATCCGTAACCTTCCCTTGTAAGACTCTAAAACAATTATCATTTTTTCTCCTCTTCCTCGCCTTTTACTATATACAGGGTTTTCCTGGGCCAGAGGGTGAGCACTGGGGATTAATGCCACAGTTAAAAGACACCCCGGGCACCGGGACGCGAACTCGTAACTATTTTACTGTCTCCACCTTTGGTTATCAGGTAGACAGGCAATGCTTAGTGCTGTGCACATGTGTTAGCCCGCTCGGCCACTCCCCCCCCCTAAAAACATTTGTTCAAAATATCAGTCAACACCTTAAATGTTTTGTGAATTGAAGGGTTTTATCCAGGAAAACTGGAAAAAATAGTTATTGGCCAACGTTCCTAAGATGTTAAGGAAAGATAATATAGCACCAAAAGTTTTATTGGAATACTTTCATTTTGAGTTTTTTTCGCCTCTGAACCACTGTGCGCCAGTGTTCCAGTTCCACCATCATCTACCACCCGTACACGAATTCTTCAAAATACTTCTTCTCTTCTTTCATGAGGAGGGGGAAATCATTTTCTTTAATAATGTATATTCCTGTTTTCCTCTGTAGCATCCTCCTTATAAAATAAATAAACCTTAAGAAATAGAAAAAAGATAATTAGCACATATAATCTTAATTTCTACGTAAACAATTATAATTAAATGTTATATACGGCAGCCTTTCTTCTCAACTGGAGCACCTTTGCTGAGTTGAATTTCCAGTGCCTTCTTCCTCAAAAGCTAATCCCCTTCCAGATTTTATATCAGATCCTCTCGATCTAATACTCGGCAGATTGATGAGAAGTAGAATTTGGCGAAGCTGTTAACAGAGCTTGACACACATGTCTCCAAAGGCGCTCAGTCCTCGCCTGTTTATACTGGGGCTTGTCCAGCTGCCTCAGATTAAAGGTTAGCCGATAAAATTCTGTTATTCTTAAATCCAATTCTATTCTGTTCCTAATAAACATTTTAATAACTACAGTATGTACATCGAAACATTATTTTTCTTAAGTATATTCACTTTTTCCTAGTCATAAATTAAAAATGTTAAAACATTTAAAAAAACAAACTAATAACTTAAAATTAGAAGATACACTTAAAAAAAAAAACAGATTGTGACAATCTATTGGATTCATCATTGGCAAAATTGACAAATGGGAATTGTAATTTCTTCTCTATATTCTGTAACTCTAGTCATCTATTTTATACCTGCCATTTTAAAAATCTCTGCCGGTAAGCTGTCAGTTCCAGGAGCCTTAGTGTTCTTTAATTTCTCTATTTCCTTGGTATCCTCTGCAACTGGTCCTTCTTCATCCTCATCCTTATTACTCACTTGGAAGAAATGGTCATTCCAAGTTAGTTCCACTTCTGCTGGGTTCAATAAGTCTCTCATCCTTGAATATTGCTTCAATAATTTCTAGCTTCATTATTCACTTTTAATGATTCTATTTTTCCAGCTTGTTTGTTTCTGATATTATTTTATTTTCTTGAGTTACTTTCTTTGGTTTTGCTTTTGCATCTCTGTATTCTGGTTTAGGGATATTTCAATCCTTGAAATCAGTTTCTAATGGCATCCTTTAGAGATTGGCTGAGGCACTTCATTTCCCAGGTGTTGTAAACAACTTATGGATAGAATCTTTCTGCCTCTTCTAGATATGAATGATAAGATTCTCAATCTGTAGATTTTTGGATTTCTAAACTCCTCATATGTTGTAGTGTTTTCACACAAGCATGTGTGTGAGCATGTCTCTTCATTAGATTCATGCCAGGTTACAACATGTGATGTGATCTGATGAGAGGCTAATGTTATATGTATAACCTTTAATTCAACTTATTACAGAAGATAGGTTTTATACCCCTCTTAAGGATATTAATGTTATTATTAATAATATATTCCAAAAGAAGCTCGCTTCTTTGGTTTTCATTATGGCTTACCCAAATAATGTTGTGAGCATTGATGTCTGGTCCCATCAGGGTATTTCCTCTTGTAGCCTTGATGATGAAATCAAGTTCTTCAGTAGGATCATTATACTCATAAGACAAGTAATCCACCATTATGGTTATTGTCCTATTTGTCATGCCTCCTCATAGAGTATAGCTGGCTGCTGCACCATCTCTAGAACATAGTTGCCAAAGAGGCAATCATTTTCATGTTTTTTTAAACAGTATGGAAGCCCTGGGATTGGTGAAAATAGAAATAACTCTGTAACCTGTAATACCCAATCCCCTAATCCTACTATTAAGTAGTTAAGTTTCATGAATTAAAATTAAGGCAATATCCTCACCTTTAATGTATTGCTGGAGATCTCCACACGTTAATCATTATTTTCACTGGTTAGATGAAGTTTGTGCTTACCAATGGTAGGAAAGTACCTATCTGTTTTGCCCATTTCAGCATTTATGTCTCCAGCAATAATTTTTATATCATTCTGTAGACAGGAATCCAATTTTCTTTCTAAATACTCATAGAATGCATCTTTGTCTTCATTTTCAGTATCTTCTGTTGGAGCATGATTTCTTATAATACTTAAATTGTAAAACATTCCTCATACTCTTATGATACAGTTTGGTAATTAAAATGATATAATTAAATTTTCATCATAAAACAACTTTGTGTTTTGCTGTTAAAAGATAAAATTGCATTAATCCTGAAACTTTAAGATTCTGTAAAATCTAAAACAGTAGAGGTAAAGCAAAACAATTCGGTATGGTTGCTTATATCAATGAATAGAAAAGCCATGTTAAGTTGCATCAAAATCTGAGGTAGTTGAGCTCACATGGAATTAAATTGCAGTTTCTTTTTTATTTGTAGACATTGATAATATTTTTTAATTATTCTCTATTTTTAAGTTTTTATCAATTTAATGTTACTTAAAATATCACCAGGAATGTGATCCGTCTGGCTTGCCACCCCTTGGATTCAAACGTGATAGAGGTCATACAATTTCAGTTATGAGTCCTGCTAGAAAACCAGGATCAGGGTGGAGTGATGCTCGACCACGCAGTCCAAAGCCTAGAGAAATCACTCCTACTAAATCAGGAGTCAACCCAGCGTAAGTATTAGGTTGTATAATTTTTACTTATTTATAAAATGTATATGGCTTTTACTTTTATTTTTATTTTTTGGTGAACTATTTTTTATGGAAAAATTCATATGTTTTTTTAAGATTATGATAAAGGATAGGTAATCGTTTGTCTCTCTGTCTCATTGATTTAATTCTTGTTTACTCCCTTGAGATCTCAAAGCAATTTCACTTTTCTAATAATACATTTATATATTTATTTTATGTATATAGTAATTTATTCTATACATGGAGTTCTTTTTTGTATTACATAAGGTTTTTGTAAACTAAATCTCATCCATACAAAATTATTGTATTTTTACATTTGTCACAAATGAAATCATCCATAAAGACCTTAATATTCCATATGTTTCCGGTTTGGCCTAATCCAGATACCTATCCTTCCATAACAAACTGCAGAACCATCCGAGCCCTCTCGTTTCAAATCTTGCTTCCTCCTCGATCCCTGATAACCCTCCAAGGCCTCGTGATCTTGTGTAAATTTATTATTTGAGTGCTATCAGTGGGTAGTTCCTCAACAACAGATTTCATGTTGTTATATTCCTGAGTGCACATTTACTAGTTGTATTTTTTTTTTTACATTAAATTATTTTTTAATTTTATTATTGAAATTTACAACTGTATTAAATGATAAATACAACAAGTAAATATGAAGCAAGTAACATAACATGTACAACATGAAGATAAACTACCCATTGGTAGCAATTCCAATTATATTTCTATATTAGAAGGTCCCGAGGCCATCTTCTTTTCAGACGTTATCAGGAATAGAAGAGGAAGCAAGGTTGGAAACAAGAGAGTTCGGATGTTTCAGAAGTTTATTATGGAATGATAGATATCTGGATTGAGCTAAATCGGAAACATATGGTACATTAAGGTCGTTATGGATGATTTTATTTGTGATAAAGTAGGGAGAATTAAGGATTTTGGATTGTATGGATTGGATACAAGAGGAATTTGATGGTTTAGTAGAGCCCCAAAGCTTGATCCCTTAAGTCCAAATAGGCTTTATTATAGTAATATATATGAGTCGGTTGTAAATAGTTGGAAGTTTAGAGAGTTTGTCTAGTAAATTATAAATAACCCGTTGAAGGTTTAATCGTAAATGACCTTTTGGCGGGGAATACTGAATATTCTTTCCGCTTCGTCGGGAGACTAGGTTATTTACACTTGTGAATATTAAAACAAAACCCCGGCACTGGATATAGACTTTTTGAGGGTGTTTAAAACTGTTGTTGGAAATTCAGGAACTTAATACTGTTGCGACACTGAGTGAGAAGAAACAGTAAGAATATATATACATGAAATGTGGGACTTAGTAAACACTTTGAATGAATTGACTCACCTGGTTTGTTATTCATCAATTGTGAGGCATATAGGACAACTAAATAAAATGACTTTTCACTCTTGTATAATAAAATAATTACTTTTGACAACTGTAATAAATGAATCTATTAAAGTATTATAACTGTAGGCCTGATATTCTTAACCTTCGAGTGCGTTCCCCTCTCTTCTCCGGCATCCTTCTCCAGCTGTTGCTACCTGCTCGGCCCTTTTCCTTCTTCCTTCTTTATCGATTGTTTATCGATTTGAGACTTTTAAATGAATAGTTTGTCCACTGTATAATTGAGTACAATTCATCGTGCAACCTCATATTCCTACACATTTCTTCCCATTCCCTCACACAATTTCACATAAAGGAGTAAATACTGGGAGCTATCTACTACAAAGTGCTGGAGTAGTCGGAAACTTTGAGTGGTTTCTTGTTGTTGAAGGATTTATCAGTTAGATAGGAACAGATAATGAGGAAGTATGTAGGTGGTAGGAATTTACTGAGTTTGTACATCAGTTCCGGAAGCCAGACTCTATCAAGCGCCTTTTCAACCGTGCTCCAATGCAGAGAAGACTACATCCACCACACGATGGCATTGCTGAATGGTGGAGTGGGATGTGCAGAATCCAAATTGGTGATCTGGGATAATGTGTTTAGAGTCTATGATGGGCTACAGGCGTTTTAAGATGAGTTTACACAGGATTTTGTCCATAATAGATAAAAGAGAGGGATTAAGAGGATGGATGTTCTGGCGGCTTTATGAGTTTAGGTATCATTTTGACAATGGATAGTTTCCAAGGGTTAGGAAAATATATGGTTCGAAGTAAAGTATTATATATATAGGTGAGGAATAGTATGGCTTTTTTAGGAAGTAGTTTTAGGATCTTGGATGTGATTAGGTCAGGACCAGGTAATCTATGCGGAAGGTAATCTATGAATGATATTGGATATTTTTGAAGTATGAAATTCTTTAGGTAGAGGATTCAATTGGAGTGGGATATCCAATTCTGCTTCAATAAACTCAAGGTGGGTTGGATTAAGGATATCTGGGTGTTGATTAAATGTTTTGAAGCGGTGCTGAGCAAATATTTGAGGTTTTTCTTTGTCAGATCTGGACCAGATTTGGGTTTCATTAATAAGTGGATGGTTAAAATCTTTGAATTTAAGGAGCTTTTTAGTTGTTAACCAGAGTGATTTTTCAGTAGTAGTAAGTTTTTCTGTCATGTTAAGTAAATTTTGAATTTTGTATTTTCTAATTTCAGCTTTTAGTTCGTTAGTTAATTTGTTGTAATATGTCTTATCTGATGGGTATCTAGTCCTGTGCCACTTCGATCTTGTTCTGCGTTTTTCTGTTAATAAGATATGAATATGCTGTGGCAAGTTTGTCTGTTGGGAGTTTTTAATTTTATTGGTAAATGTATTATCGTTTATTTTGTCACTTATAGATGTAGTAAGTACTGCTATAGCTGTGTCCATGTCATGTTTCGTCTTAAGTGGAATATTTAGGTCCAATTTATTTTGCAGGTCTTTATGAAATTTTTTCCCAGTTTACTCTTCCTGTAATCAGTGTGGGAGGGGATGAGGGCTTTGGAGCAAAGGTTGTGTGTAATGAAAGCAGAAATGGAGAATGATCTGAGGAGAGGTCATCCAGGGATTTGATTGTGACATGGGAAGAGGAAATTTGGGAGGTGATAAATATATCCAGGATATCAGGGTGTTTTTTTCTGGAAGTTGGCCAATAGGTAGGATTCATAGAAGAGAGGACAGAGTAACTATTGGAAGTTGAGACAGAAGATAGTATGTTACCACGAGAGTTGGATGCTCGACAACCCCATCGTTGGTGTCTAGCATTGTAGTCTCCTCCAGCAATAAAGTGCAATCATAAGGATTCAAGTAAGTTGTAGGTAAGAGTATGACTAGGAGGACAGTATACAGCTGAGAGTGTTAAGTGGAAAGAATGAGTTGAAATGATTACTGATACTGTTTGAATAGCCTCAGTTGGAGTAGAAGGAATGATGAGAAAATGGGATAAGGATGCAAGAACCGGCATGTGAAGTGTTGTCGGGGTAGCTTGATCTAGAAGTGATGTAGTCACGTATGTAGAAATATGAATGTTGATTGAAGTGAGTTTCTGTCAGTTGAGCAATATCAATGTGGTAGTCGTGAAGAAAAATGTCAAGTTTGTCTCGGTGGCTGTGTAGTCCATGAGCATTCCATAAAAGAACAGCTAGTGGTTTTGTACTTATCACGAGAGATTAAAGGGAATTTCGAAGGATTCTTGTGAGGAAGGTGATAAGAGGTTTTATAGTGTTTTGGAAATCCAATAGGAAGGATGATAGAATGGAAGTTATGTCAGATAGATGTTGGTTGTGAAGTGAGTTTAGGATAGGTTCTTGTGGCGGGTTAGGAGTGTTAATTAAGGGCGACATTTGTCGTGTACGAGATGGGTCTGGATTCAAAGGTGCTTCTGGGTTGTTTTTTTTCTGAACATTAGGTTGAGATAGCTGAAGGTGCTGTGGCAGTAATTTGATTCATAGGAGTAGATGATTAGGGGGAATTTGCTGATGAGGAGGATGAGGGTGAGGATTGGGAGTATGAGGTTTCTGACATGTGTTAGATGTATGTAAGCCAGCGCATCTTACGCACCTGGCCTGATGATGGCAATTGCACTATCACTTGTTTTTGTTTAGGTTCTTCAAATTTAACTGTTAAATATATAAGTCTGTTTACTTGAAATATTTCGATGTTATTACTAGCAGACTCCAAATCAACGAAGAATAAAGGTAATGGATATTTCTGCATTGTATTTAAAATGCATGATAAGTGCCTAATGTTGTGACCTATTTCTTCCCTGTCAGACTTGATAACGGATATAGGAGTGTATGCCTCGAGACCACTCGATATGCATTTTCTTGTCTTAGCTGGTAACAGTGAAAATCGTAGTTTTTAGATGAAAAGTAGTTGATTAGTGTTTTATAATTATTTCTTGAGTTTGTGTTGGTCCTTATATCGTTTACCCTGGAAAAACAGCGAAATTTTGTCTGTCAGATCGGCAATTTCTTGACCAAATGATATGAAATTATCAATTTTGGAAACAAAAATAGGTGGCGGCTCGGGGTCAGTAAGACCTTGAGGCTCAGAAGGCTTGTTTGGTGAGTTACTAACAGGAACAAAATTATTGCTGGCTGTGGTAGTTGGTGCAGTTGGCGCTGGTTTTGTGGTATTTATTTTGCTTCTAGTTTTGGGTGGTGATTTATTTTGCTGTGTATTCGTGAACGTATAAATGTTTAACAGTTTATAAAGTCACTGTTGATAAAGTATTACCAAAGGATTTCTCTTGTGACATACTTACTGTCCCAAAATGGTGTCCAAACATAGACTGATGACTTTGATTTTCGTTAGTTTTTTGGTCACTGAGAATCAGCTTTTGGCTTAATTTAGTCATAGTTGGTCTTTTATTAAATATGGATAGTCAGGGAATAATAAAACAAGAAAATATGTTAGAAAAAATAATTGGCTTAGGCAATAAATAATACAAGTGAAGTCAGTTTTTTTAACAAAAAAATTTTCAAGTTGAAAATCAAGTGTCATTTATAATTAAACGGTCAACAATAACACAAAACATCTGGTAAATATA